TAATTTTAATAATCAAGATCACCTAATTGCATATATGAATATTTTTAATTATCTTAATTTACCTAATAGTATCTCGCACACCTCTCTCAAATAGCAATTTATTATCGCTACCAGTGAACACTTCGTCTGTATAATAAAGTAAATTTATCGTTAAAATTGAATAATTGAAGTTACACATTAAAATTCCTGTAAATAATTTTTTTAACCATAAAAATATTCGGCCATTTGCTTTCTGTATCGTTCCATAAAATCCACCTGTAGGCTCACTTTGCCAAGTGAGTTGTCAACTTCCCAAATTTCAGTTTCACCTCTAGTCAATTCTACGGCATTTGGAGGTCTTACTCTAACAGTAACCTTTACATTTTGGCGGGTGGAAGAAGCAGTATTACTAGTTTGAGTTTTTGGTGGTTCTGGAGTTGGTGTAAGAGCGTTAGTTGAAGACAAGGTATCAGAAGCTGCCCTTGGTGGCTGTGGGCTTCCGATTCGCGTTAAAGACCTTTTTAAAGAAAAATCCATAGATATAAAAATTCAGCCGCGAGAAAGAAAAGACTCCAAAAGATAGAGTCGAAACTCGATTAGCGTTTATAGTAGTAGTACTAATACGTATAATACTACGCCATTGCAATATTGCAATTCGATTTTAAAATTAATATCACATGATAAACGAAGTTAGAACAACTTTGTAAAGTACAATGATGTATAATCTCGTGTTTCATTACTTTCACGTGCAAGATTTCACTAACAAATTTAGCTACGTACGATTTCATTGTTACAGACAAGCCCTTCATTTTTAACCAATCAGGGTATAGTGAGAGTACCAAAAAAAATTTAATTCTTGAAGTCTACTAACGAAATACATTAAACAGTTAATTTTTCACTGTATCAGGTTTAAAATGTTAGGATTTATTTAGCATTCATCGGAAATGAAATTCACCAGTTTTTTTTTTTTTCTATATATTTTTTTTTTTTTACGATTTTTGAATTTTTTTAAACTTTAGGGTTAGCGTTAGATAGAGTTGCTTAAATTAAACAATAAGGTTTTTTTAGGGAGCCGAACAGTTTTTATTTAGTACACCAAATACGTACGTACCAATCACTAAGGCCATTTTTGATAGTGTACCCGATGAATTTTTACCTTATGTGAGCATTCAGATCGTTCTAAAATTTAATTACGTACGTACGCACGTATACATATTTCTGTATTTTATTGAAAAAGTATGTAGCAGCTGTTACACTTAACAGCCCATCGGTAGTTTTATGATTTGGCTGCATATATCGATGGTTTTTTTGTTATCTATATTAAGCAAGCTTTTACATAACAGTCCATTATAATCAGATTTGGCCTATCGCTATTTTATTGAGAAGGACGTCGAAATTAGTGATGCAGGAGAATTAATTCCATATTTGTGGAATTCCACGTCTAGTAATTCCATAAAAAGTGTGGAATTGAATTGAATAATTTTAGTTATCTGTAATATAAATTACGAATTTATTTAGTGTTTGATTTAGTGTTGGGGTTACAAATTAAGAGCCCATACCCGGGTACATTTCTTCATGTTTAGTTTTAAAACAAGAGTAAATATTGTCACGTGATAAAGATCTTCAATCTTTTTTTTTTTTTTTTTTTAAAAAAAATTTCACTTTAATTTCGTTAAAAAAAATGCTTGAGCCAAATCATATATCGACGAACAACAATAGTAGACAACAAAATTTTAAATTCTTGGTCGTTGATTCAGGACCTTTAATTAAAGGTGTTGATGTTCGTCATTTAGCCGAGAAGGTTTATACTGTACCAGAAGTAATTTTGGAAATTCGGGACAAACATTCCCGCGATTTTTTAACACAAATTTCGTTTGACATTGAAACTATACGTCCTGATAGCGAGGCTTTGAATGAAGGTTCAATATTTCTAGTTTTTACATCACTTTAATCTAATTCGATTCTAAAATTTTTTTTACTAAAATTTTAAATTTATAGTTGTAAATTTTTCGAAAAAAACTGGAGATTATGCAAGTTTATCTGCTATTGATTTGAGAGTTTTGGCATTAACGTATATGCTTGAAGTTCAAGTAAATGGTGCGGAACGATTACGTAAAGAACCTATTAGAGTAATAAAATATTTAATTTATTTCAACAATTATTTATTGTTAATAGTTACTAAAATACATATTAAATTATTTAGTCAATCACACAATTTAGTGGCAATCATAAAAATTTGAAAAAAGCTAGAAATGATACACAATTTGGTAACAATCATAAAAATTTGAAAAAAGTTGAAAATGATACACAGTTTGGTGATAATCATAAAAACTTGAAAAAGGTTGAGAATGAAAAAGTTGAAAATGAGGAAGTTGAAAATGAAAAGGTTGAGAATGAGGAGGTTAAAAATGAGGAGGTTGAAAATGTAAAGGTTGAAAATGAAAAGGTTGAAAATGAAAAAATTGAAAATGAAAAAGTTGACAATGAAAAGGTTGAAAATAAAAAGGTTGAAAATGAGAAAGTTGAAAATAAAAAGGTTGA